TTATATCAGTAAATTTTGATTCCAATGTACTATTATCCACAAATACTTTATACTCCCCTATAAAGGATCGTTTGACCTTGAAATGCCTATTCCTCATATATCTATACCTTTTTGCATAAGTTAAAAAAATCTTCATTGCACTCATAAACTGTGGAAATCTTGAAGAGTCCACAGCACAGTTCTTTCAAGTTGTCTATTTTAGGCATCTAACCTTCCAAGCATGGAATAGTGTAGCAGAAAGTCAACTTTATAATGATAGTTGAGGTGAGTAGAATCGTAACTTAGAATTGTTCAAGCTGATCATTAGTTGATTCGGATTACCCAGTATTTTTTTGAACTTAAGCTAACACTGAATGCGAAATTTTGTTATTAAGTAAATTTGACTATTCTTCTCAATTTCGGACCTTGTGCGTTTCACGTACTTTTCGAAATAAATTCACCTTTGTTAGTGACTCTCACAGCTCGTGAATACGATAAATAATCATTCAACAAAATCTGTGAGATGGCAGCACAAAAATCACTCTCTAATTTATATTACATGGTGTCCATTTTTAAGGGCCGTGTCGCCATGTTGCGCCCTTTATGTAAGCATTCATCTCATTTGTTCAAACTCCACACCAGTTTTCAAACATTGTGGCAATTCTTGCATTTAATCATAGTTAACACGTATAGCAGAATGTGAATAAGCTTATTTTTCTGTTGACAGGAGGTTGACTTCCATTTTGGCTCAGTGCATTTTTATTTTCCATTTTTATTTTAAAGGCTACTTATTCCGACTTATTTGCAAATGTTAAAAAAGCATCCCACTCTGTCAAGAGAGAATTAATGCCTAATCAAATTTCATGAAAGGAAACATATTCTAACAAATTTCTCCAATATCTTCTTGACTGTCCATGTGAATTTAACAGGAAATCGTTTGCAATCAAAAGTGTTTTTATGAGATCATTGAAAGTTCCTTCCTATTTCTTCTTCGAGACATCTAGCTGCAGTTAATGCCAAAGACTAGTCTACTCTTTTTCATTTTCATTTATCCATTTAGTGTCATACTAAATTGCAAAAGACAACACTTCTTCCCGTCATTAACGCTGGTTAAATGGGAACACACTCAATGACCACATGGTTAGGTTATATAAGTACTTTGTTTTAAAATGTTTGTCTACTCCTCACTTATAAGGTATAAGCCATTTTTAATTACCTCATTGGTTCATTTCACTTGTCAAACTCCTGCTTACCTAAAAACTTCAATCACTTTTGCCCATTTCTCTATCTTCGATTTTTATCGATTTTTTAACCCTTTGAAATTCTTGTACTAGGATCACTCCTTTGTTATTTGGCCGCTTTTTTTCAAGTCTTCTCCTCTCTCCAGAAATATGATTATACCTTCCTACCCACTTTGTCCCCTTTCTCTCTAGGGGCAGTTATGTTTGGAAAACTTTGAAGTCAAACATTTTGTTAAGCTTTTTTGATTCTATATTGGCGGTTCTTGGGGTTTGCATTAGACTCATCTCCACGTGGAGCACTCTGGGCAACGTATACTCATACGACAAAAAAGTCTATAAACCGGCAGTTGACTTCCAGTCACCATGATCTGACTGTATGTTACATTCGAGCACTTCCACAGTACTCACCTTTTCCTTTTCTCTACCTTTGTTTCTACTTACTTGTAACACCTGTGAATCACTCTTCTGTTCCCCCTCCCCACTTTTTCTGACTTTGATGCCTCTTCCCCCCCCCCCCTCCCCCCATCTGTGTTCACGAAGTTAACTAACCTGCCAATTAAAACAATCATAAAGACTGCCATTTGATATGAATAAATATATGTACTTTAAAGGTCAATGAGGTTCAACCACTTTGTGTTCTCTCTCTCATGAGGTAATTATGCTTAGGAAACTTTGGTGCTAAATTCATTATTATTATTAAGTTGTCCCAATCCTCCATTTGCAATTCTTAAGTTTAAGTTTCCTACCAAATCTTCATTCCTAAGTGGAGATTGTGGACTAGAAGTTAAGTGGTAGCCCAAGGGATGAAGGAACATAATTGAATTTAGGTTATTTTAACTCATCAATTAAAAATTCATTAAATCAGCTCTTTGGAAAATTCTTTCTACTTATTTCCTATTTTAACGCAATAAATTCAGATTTATTCGATTTCCGGTAATGAAAGCTTGAAAATTATTATTATACATAGCTGGGCTATCTAATATAAACAAATATATCATCATTTAACATACTATAAATATGACTCATTGAAATTGAGTACAAAATATCCTCCATTTTGACTTTACCTATTCATTATTTATACTTTCTCACAATCACTTAATGATTATTAGTGTGGTAGAGGTGGGGTGGGGAGTAATTGGAGTGAGAACACTTATTTATACCATTTTATGCGTTAATGGCATTTTACGCTTGCATATTATCACTTCCATTTACGTTTCCCATAACTTCGTACTCCCATTGGAATTACTTATGATGACACTAATTCCGATTGAAATAAGTCAATCTCCGTTTCTCCTGAGCCGATTTTTATAATTAATGCAGAGTGTGTAAGCACCAAGACCACTTTGATTAGTGCAATATTCCCCATAAGCTTAAATGGCAGTATTGACAAAGCATATAATTTAAAATACACAAGTAAGTACGCCCAATGGTATCATTTATTTAGTTCGTAAAGAAGGGGGAATAAATATATGGACGCCTAAAAATATTACTAAAATAAGTGTGTTTTCTTGGTGAAAAATAAATGTTTAATATCATAAGGACAAAAATAGAAATATATGAACACCACACACAATTTAGTTATATTTAAAGGAGCGAAGATGAGGAATCGACATTAAAGTCCTACCGGCAAAGAAGATTCCTAATAGCAGATCTTTACATGTCATATTTCTATTCGTTTAATTTTTAATTATTTTATTACTAGTCTGACAGCAAAAAAAAATAGACGGAAATATTGCAATTTGAATTTGATTTAATGCAGTAATTAAAGGATAATAAAAGCAAAATACTATGAATAATTATTACCAACTTTCTTCACAGCTAATGTATAAAATCCATATTTATTGGAGAATTAATTGGCTAATTCTTTCATTACCTCTCGTTCAAATTAATAATTAATTAATGCCGATCAGTTTTTATCCCTTTGTTCTATTACTAGCATAAGTTGAGGAAAAACTATTCAAAATATCCACAAATTGGTTCTAGCAATATATATATGTGTGTATATTTAAAATACAAATATATGGTAAAAAAGTTAATGTACTTTAGGTGAAACCGCCATGGAAACAGGAAAATTCGCATAGTTTACATTTAACCACAGCGACCTCAATTCCTTAGTAAGATTTGAATTTGTACTAACTCCTAAACTCTTAACCACAAACAATTTGGCTTTGCTTATAGGTAACACGCCTTACCTTAATAGTTAAACAATTCTTAACCTGGAATTCGTAGATTTGTCAGATTTGTCAAATTCATCTAGTTTTAAATTAAATAAAGTTCAAAGGACTTTTACAGTCACAATCGGAGCTCTTGCAAAGGGGAGTAAAAGTAAAGGCATTAAAAGCAATTATTTTACCTGTTCCTCAAACACATTGACACGATGTTGAAACGGTCTTCATTGCTAAAACTTATATTGCTCATAAATATTATTAAGTAACTTGTCAAAATTCGTGTAATGCATTTAAAATTTAGAAATTGTTTTGTTCTTCAGCTTTCACTGTTGGCTACATAGGAGTAGATATGCTTTAGAAAGTTAAAATTAATTAAATCTATCGCAATCTGTATTGCAACCCGTGTTAGCTGAAGGTGTCTAATTCAAAATCGCATTATGGATTATTGATAAATCAGCAGTGCCCATATTTAGCAAAGTTCTATATTAGCAGAGCTCTTGAATTTTTCTCTGATATTGCTGGTATTACTTGTGACGAAGAGGACAGAAGTGCAATATGTAATCACAGAAAACATCTTTGAAGACCTCCAACAACTCGTAGATGATCTTCCAACAAGTAGTCTCCACTTTCCCGTAAAAGGTCGTTTAAAGACCAGCATAGTAGGAGGGTAGGTAAAATAGCATACGGTATGATTTCATCCAGATTTTTTGTTTTATCAAATTACTTTTGTTTAACACGAAGGAGGCAAAATTGAAACCACTGACCTTTGCGAGGATTTTCGATTCCAAAATAGAAGTTATATTTTTGGCCTTCATTATGAATATCTGCGATCTGGAACTCCTAGACTGATCCTATATAGATTACTTTAATGCCTTAAAATTGTCATTTTATGGGTTTGCCATGACTAGTATTGGCGTTAGTAATTGAAGTTTCAATCCTGTCTGTTTGTCACCATTAGTTTTATCGGCTGTAAAAATAATAATAAAATGCGGTGAAAAGGGTTTTAGGGAAGGAAGAGCGACACGGTATACGTAAAAAGCTTATTCTACAACTTTCCTATTTACTTTTTAAAGATCTCGCACTAAATCCCATCTGTAACCAATGGATTGCATTCGGAGACCTCCCTCCTCAGTCATTCTTGCCTTTTTTCCGAGACCTTTATTTATTTATATCAAATGGCAGGCGTTTTGATGGTTATCATTAGCCCTTTAGTTGACTTCAGGCTTCACAGAGGGGAAGGAACATCAAAGTGAAAATGTCGGGAGGGGGGGGGGGCAGAAGAGTGTCTCAAAATGATGTAAAAGAGACAGATACAAAGATAGAGAAAAGGTGAGGTGAGTACCATGGAAGTAGTGGAATATGACATACTGTGGGGTGATGGTAGGTTGAAGTGAGAAGTCAACTGCCGGTTAATAGATATTTTTGCCGTATGAGTATACGTTGCCCAGGCTGTATCACGTGGAGGTAAGTCTCTCGCACACCCCATTTTTCCGAGACTTTTAATTGAGCCGAAACGACCAAATTTGTGTCTTGACTTGCATTTGAAATGCCGATTATATACTAGTCATTCCCAGTTAAAAGTATGTACAACTATGTACTTTAACCCCTTCCCTTACAAGTGCATCATTAAAAATGGCGCGGAGTATGCCACACTGCTTACATCTATCTGATTGTTAGGCCAAGCAATTGCCCAGTTGAAGGAGAGCAAGAGAACAGTAAATTTAAAATGCTGCAGCTGCATGGAAGGAGACCAGCGCCATTGATGGCAAGGCATGACTACATAAATGCACGCAGCGTAGCGACGAGCCCTACCGTTGACACGAGAGAACGGGAGAGAGAGACGTAGGATCAGTTCCATAGTCTACGCTCGAACAAGTACTCTGGTGCTGCGTTTTGATCTTCAGCATAAGCTTCAACTTTTCAGCTTTAGAGCGCTGCATAGAATTTGGGGGTGGGGTGGGGGGGGGGGAGGAATAATTGCTTTCCCACTCACCAGTAGCACCACAAAAGTTAATGTAGATTGGAACGTGAGCTGTGGTGAAATGAGGATGATAATTTACTGAGTATGCAATCACTCCAAATTTTACTCTTATTAACTTAATACTAATGATATCTCAGTTGGCAGCTACGTAATTGTGTGCCGCAGTCTATTCTTAATTAAGCGAATAATATGAAATAAATTGTGATTTACAATAATGGAAATAAAAACTTATACAAATAATTCCAGTTTGTGGTGATTAGGTTATTGCATAAGATGCAATAACCAACAGTCTCGACAAATTTAGTTTTCCCTGGAGGTAAATTTACTGATTCCAAATAGTTGCTTTATAAAACATTTAAATCCTCAAGGAAATAATTATGAAAGCAATTTTCAAACTGCAACAACCCCATTGACAACGGGATATCCAGTAAAATTTACGTTAATATTCCCTTATTGCATTGACTTAATTATTTTATAATCGTAAATAGTGAAATTCAATTTGTCTTATAGATAAAAGCCAATTTTACGTTTCAACATCCGACTATATGTGACCGGATTTTAGGTAAAAGTTATTAAGGCCTAAGGAAAGTGAAGTGATTTTTCAGATCTTATTCCAACACCGCTTTACTCAAATGACTAGATTTTAAATAAATAACTAATTATAAATAAATAAATAAATATGTGTGTGTGTGTAGAATTGGCATGAAAAATGTCTGCTGAACTTACCCCACTATTAGTCCATCTCGTTTCCGTGAGCAAAAATCTACTATATCGAGTACTGAGGTATTGATTCAAATTGTTGCAATTGAATAAATAGCGAAAATGAATGCGAGATTTGGATAGCAAACCCCGGACAGAACTAAATTTGTGTAAGGTGCATACAAAAGAAGGCTGTCTGCTTACTACCAATTTTTCCCAGCTGAGTTGGAGTCGAGAGAGCATAGGTGAATTGTGAGAGGGTCATGACGTCCAAGGTTTTCCTTTACTTGTAGGTAAATCAAGTTTTCAGCATGGATCCACATTGAAATTTATATTTCTATTGGTTGATCAACCATTTTCCACTACCTACTTACTCGTAATTGAATAGCATCTCTTCTTCTTTGCCTTAAAATGCTAGCGTTAAAATTCTAATTTTACTCTTCCTTGTCATTGATGATAACGTCAAATCTTGCCTTCACAATAGAGCAGGTTTCATTAATTGCAAGAAATAGAGATAATGATAGATAAGTTAAAATGAATTTAATTTTAAATGGAAGGAAAATTAAATTGTGAGTGGCTGATCTTAACATCACAGGCTATTACAAGAATGAGCAGGAATAATTGAATTTCCCGACAGCCACACTTTTAACAATACCGAAAGCAAAATTTCCAAAGGCCTATCAAAAATCAGTCGTTGTTTTCAAAAGCGTTTAAAATATTCGAGTATGTAGCTGCCTAAACAATTAAGTTATTTTGAATTAATTCAAGGGTTCTAACCAAGTAGCTTCTCTTACTACGTTTATGTCCTATCTTCCATCCATCTTCTTCCATTAAATAGTCTGCATTTATTAAAATTCTCCATCGTGCAGGTTCTGAAGAATTCACTAAAGCATTCCAGGATTTATCCATTAACCAAAGTTAGGTAATTATTTTAATCTTAATAAATTTACCATAAACGTGCTTTTACGGTGAATCGAATCAAATGTAATAAACAAAAAATGCCTCTTTGTCTCACCAGGAAGCTTGATTAACAGCAGATTGGTTAAGGAGTTTAGCGTTTTGGTAATCACTAAATTACCCATAGAGTCTTTTAAAGCACTATTGATGCAATCGAGATGGATTGAAAGTGCTGTTTTCTCTAAAGTGTTGATGGAATCCTTAGGCTATAGGAAAATTATCCTACGTATCGATGCAACAACTCTCAATGATACAAGTCCATAAAGATATCGCCTATCCTTTATTCAACCTGAGTTCAAATGGATAAAGCTCCATTCTAAAATTCTTCTAGGACTAAAATATAAGCTCTCTACTGATGCCTTTTTGCCCATAATCTTTAAACTTGGAAGTGCCATCAGTATTCAGTTCACAGTTTACTTAACCAGATTTTAGCCTTCAGGAGAGGGAGATAATATCGTTTTCAAATGTGTTTACTACACCCGTGCCTCTCAGCCACGGAGAACTAAACGTCGAAAGTTGCAGATATTATCAGCAGATGATTTGTACTTTGAAATCTGAATGCAATCCACAAATTAGGTGGCATTTCTGAAGTTCTATCAGTTAAAAGAGAAAAAAATACTATACTGAACTGATAGAAGCATCATACCTCAATTACCTCTGGGGGTAACTCAAAAGACCTCTTTATTGTCTATTTGAAATTTGAAAAAAATGAAGGGATTGGCATGGGTGACTGTATGATGGAGCGCTGATAGATGATGATACCAGTCATAAAGCGTCAGTAATGTTTTCATAAATGCAATCTATCATGTTCAAAGTGAACTCTTCGGCCAATAAATGTAGAAGTGCGGATGAAAGTGCACGCGGACTATACCGGTCCGTTCTTCAACAATAAATGACCAGAAGTATATCTTGACGCTAATCAAAAAAAGAATTTGCCATTCCATCAAAACGAATTCCTATTTTACGCTGTCATGAAATCTTTGTATTCCTTTCAGGTTGGTACTTACCTCCCCAATCTTTTATTAGTTTATAGGTCATTCGAATAATAATAACTCTAGTCTGTTGCACTATTTGCTATAAGTAAAAAGTCCTTTCACCAATTCCTATCAGTGGTTCTTGTGCCCTTTCATTACCGCTTAGAACGCATAATTCTCATTCCGAATGACCGTCAACGTACACCTACTTGGTTCATTATTCGGTATAATAACGGCGTACGAACCCTTGTTGAACATTTCTTTGTCATCATTAAATTCCGTGGACCTTGGTTCCCATAGTTTTTAACAGGGATTTTTAACTGGTAAGGCTTAAGAGGTATACATAATTTTATTACGAATGCAACAAACATGAAGACCAAGAGTATTGCATCCATTAGCACATGCTTCAAAGAAGTAGGTGAAAATAAGGTGAATGAGTGTGCATAAGAACAGGAGACGAAGCTGGTATTTGCGTTCCAGTTAAACAAAAACCAGGAGTTAAAGATAGCTATTAGTGTGAGGTCAGGCTTTATTAAAAGAATAAATTATTCAAAATCAAATGACAAAAGTAAATGAGCTACCACTTATACAAATTTTAAAGTAAGAAAAATAAATCGACAAGTATTTTCGCAAATTCATTGAGATGTGATTTATATATCCGCTACAGACAAGATATATGAAAAAAAATTTTATATAACCTCCACTTAAAATAACTAAACATAAGACGATTATATTGTTGATAAATCGTTAAAAAAGATATCTTATTTCAATTATTACATATATATTTACAAAAACGTTCTTATGCATTAATTATGCATTGATAGCAATATGGCAAAGTGACAAAACAGAAACTTCATTAACCCAGATCTAATACATAAGTGACCAGATGAGCGATTTGTAAAATATGTTTAAAATCGTGGAGGTGCTGAAATACAAATAATAGAACCTTGTCAGCGAAACATTAACAATTCAACTTCGAGGGTTTCAATGGAAAAGCAAGAAAATATATGAAATGGCATAACAAAAAATAATTAAAATAGAACATATATGGCAATTAGGTTTTAATCCAAAATCATTTCAGCAGAAAAGAACAAAAATATTCAAATTTCTCTATTCAGTACAAATGAATCTTACCTCAATGGAAAGAGGCAGAGAGATAGAGATATAAATAGTTTATAGGCTGATACGTAGGTAAGAAAATAATGTTTTAAATCCGAAAGTTCTGAAAGAAAAATAATTTTCTATCAAGAGTAAATAACGAATATTGTTATGCTCATTTCAAAATCTTGCTTATAAAATTTAAATTTAAAATTATTTTTAATGCACAATCACACAGCCGGGTCATCCAAAATATTTTTCGCGCATAAAATATGGCTGAAATTGACGGGGGTGGCGTAAAACCCTATACAGATATGAAGGAGAACGGTCCTGAAAGCCCGCCTCTAGGTAAAAATGTTTGCAAATTTATTTTTTGTTGCGCTACAATTTTTAATGACGTTTTCGCTTCGATTGGCCTTAAATTTTTTAGACTAATTAATTTTAATGAATGTTTTAGCTATACTCTTTATTTCTGATGAAATTTTCCTTCTAGTGAGTCATTCACCACAACACAGTTCATCGCCAGCATTGAACAACAACATACTTTCCAGCCATCAATTATCAAATTCCAACTCCATTAAGAGTAGTACTAGTAATGGAATGACATCAGAACAACGTCGGAAATTAATATCTGAAGCTGAACAACAAAGAACTGAACAGAGACGTCAACAGTTTCTTGAGGCACAGAGGCGAGCTGAAGAGCACCGTGAGAAGCAGCGTGAAGAACGTAAACGTCGAATTGAAGAAAATAAAAAACGTGAAGAGGAGCGACAAAGAAAAGCATTAGAGACGAAAAAGGAAATTGAACGCCAGTATAAGGTAAATTTAGAGTCAGACTTTATTTCGTCTCTTATTCACTGAGTTTTCATATACGAGGTAAAATTTGCAAAGGATTTTTCCACTGTTGTTGATTTTCCAATTGTGCTACCCAACCCTGTTTATGTTTGTGCATCCACAGTAGTCTACGGATAATGTATTGTGAAATTTTCTGTTTGAATCAAATTTTATTGCTCTCATTGTGTTGGTAGGATGTTGTGTAAATTCTTTTATCTACACGGAGCGTGATTAGGTTTTTAATATTCTTTAAATCAGACGTATATTTATACTTTTTTTCTACTCTAGAAACTCACTTTCATTTCAAAACTGTGTGCATGTTTTCAGTTTCTGTGGTATTTACTTTAATTTATTAAGGGAGTGTCCCATTTTTACAACCATGAGGTATAGTCTGTCTTGCATATGATCTATTCAATTCCTATTATCGATTTACACTTCATTAATACTTGAGTATCACTAAACCGCTTTTAACTCCTTCTTAATAGCTTTAATTTTAGGCCGTATTGTAGAAAACATTAATTTCACCTCTTAATCTTTAGTGACTTCTCTTATAATTGCCTATAATCCATCTGTAGTCACTTCGCAGATTTTCCAATCGAACAATTTTGAGTAATTTATATAGCAAGCTACTCCAAGTGTCGTGTTTGTTTGTTGCACCGTTTTTTTGAATAAAAGTTAATGTCTCAATGTTGTCTTTTTCTATTTATTTCTTTGATATTCGATTGTCTACTTCCCGTGGCTTTTGAAGCTTCATATTATAGTAGAAAAGTGTTTAGATAACTTTCATGCAAAATTGCGTATCGCCTTTTAGTAGCATTGCGTTCAATTGAAACAGCCATTCTAATGTAGTTGGATATGGTACAGTTTGGACCAATCTCAATACTTTTTAACTTTGATGAGGATACCTTTGTTCTAATTTCGAAGTATATCCCATTTTTAATTGGAAGGCATTCTAAAACCTTCTGTGGAAATGTATGGTACGTCTGTACTACTCGCTATTCACTAAAGGGTCTCGAACTTATGACCTGCATTACCATATAATTTAGCCTCTGTTTTAGATAAGTTCTATATATATATATATATATATATATATATATATATATATATATATAT